ATCATTGTACAATGTATACATATATTAAAATATTATATGTACCCCATAAATATGTACAATTATGATGTGTCAGTTAAAAACTGTCAAAATCAAATATTTGAAAAATGCAGTAGTGATTTTTGGAGTGATTTGATGGGGTTGTTGACTGGCAAATCAAAGCTATGTGGTTTTCACAGAATGCATCAAAACGAAACAGTAGCAGGATTTAGATTCCACAGTTTGCAACTTTTTAGAAACCTTTTTGGATAAATTGATTAGTCAATTCAATGTAAAACGAAGTTCTGCAAAACAATACATAGGATTGAATTTTTATGGAATTGACCATCTGCTTAAACTGTCAGGCCAATTCGAATTGTGTCTAGAGAACAGTCCAAAATAATTTTTGAGAGGAAACACAAAAGTTTTTTAAAGCAAGGAAAAAATTAAATTTTCTGATGGAGTGGAAAGGTATGGATTTAGTCAATCTCTGCCTTCAAAGTGGTCCCTTTGCTGAAATTGGCAAATTGGTTACTTTCATCAGTTTCAGCCTCTGTCAGTTTCAGCAGCCTAGAATAGTCACAAAAGCACATAAATTTCAGCCCTAGAAGCTTTTCTCTTCTGAAACTGACAGAAAGAAAAAGAAGGAAAGCCAAAATGTCAGGTTCTCTGGAGGCTTTGGGAAGCACTTGATATTGAGTGACCTATTTAGCAGGCCTGGCATTCCAGAACCCTGCTACTGCTGGCGTGATACATTGGCTCCGTACCAAGTTGCTATCCCTAGGATCCTATAATGAAGGCTGTTCCAATGGGGCCACACATCCTCAAACTTAGGTCTTAAAGTCAAGTAGAGTTCAGAGTCAAATTGGCATAGTACAAACTGAGATGGTTTCAGAATTTGAAATGAAAGTTCTGAGGCCACCACTTAACAGACAGTGAAATCATTTAACTTCTTGAGACTCTTTTATGATCTGTGAAATGCAGTTGGTCATATTTGTGCTGCTTCCTAATGATAATGGTTAGCATTTGTTGAGCATTGTATTTGTATACATTATCTTATTTATTCTTTGGTCAACCTAATAAGATAATTTTAGAAGAGAAAACTAAGGGACAGGTTAAGTAATTACCTGTGTGACATGGCTAGTAAGTGCTCAAAGATTTAATAAGGTTCAAGTAAAATAATATTAAGTCATTCTGAAAACTATGAGGAGCTTTGAAGTTTAGGTGTTACTATCATTGGTAGCATGATTCCCACCAGATTCATAGTATCCACTGTTTTACTTCAACACTTAAAATATGTTATCACTACTTGCCTGTGAATAGCCACTGCACTCAAACCTGGGCAACATAGCAGGACTCTCTCTGTCTCTTAAAACATACTTTATCATTGTCATGTAATCCTGTGTAGTCAACACACTTATATTTGATTTAAGTAGGGACATGAATAAAAGAGGAATCTGATCTGAATAAAATGTGCTGCAGTATAAAATGTAGATGTTCATTCCAAACATATGTGATAAGAACCACAAGACATCCAAGGATAATTTTAAACTTTCTTGGTATGGTCTTTGAGTAGGCTAAACCCCACTGCAGTTTGACTAAAATATTCAGATTTCCATCATCTCTTGATGAAAGTGATTTCAAACCAAGGCTACAAATACCTGGCTATTGTCTTTGAATTGCTAAATGTCATTAGATGCCCTTCAGTGATATCTATCCTATCGTTGTCAATTTAGATGTATTTTCTTCTTCCTCCTTTAAAAAAACATTTAGTGTAGAATTGTTTAGGCATCTCGAGGAGTCGAAGGCTTTTATAGAGGGTGCTAAAGAAGACATACAAAAATAGAGAGGTGCTGAAGATTGTTCCTCATCCTTTGGGTCCTCCCTTGGTCTCCTTTCTCCTTTTTTTCCCCACATTATTCATCTCTTTCTTTTATTCCGTTTTTTTTTTTCTTTCCACAAATATTTACTGAGCTTTTATCAAGGGACCAGTATTTTGCTAAGTGCTGAATATACAATAGTAAGCAAGATATATCCATCTTTTTCCTCCTCGTATCAAAATTTAGTGGGGTTTGACAGATATTAAATGAAAACTATTTATACATAACAATGTGATAAGTGCTATGCAGAAAAAAATACAGGAGATATTGAGGTAGAATTATATGTCCCCCATCTATTTTACGGTGAGAAAGGCAAAATTGAGTCCTTTTATTGCTAACACTCCTTTGATGTGTACGAAATTTTTGGTTTTTCATCATAAATGCCAATCTATGCTCATCTCCTTTCCTTTGATCACTACACATAATGAGTGGGATAGCCAGCCCTGGCTTTTCAGTTCAGATTGGTAAATGGAAAGAAAGCAAAAAGCTTACCATTTCTTAATCCAGTTGTCTTAGCAAAGCTAATAAACAGTTTGGCAATTCAATTAGTTTACTGGACAAAGATCTGGAAAGAGCTAATCTTATCAACTGTATAAATTTTTATTTTAACCTATTTCTATTTCAGTCTCATTTTGAGCTTTTGCAGGTGACCATATTGCAAAATTGGAACATAAGCTCAAGATTAAAAAGGAAAGAAAAAAATGGGAAGAAAAAAAAGGAAAGAAAGGAAACCAGCCTGACACATCACAAAGCCTCACAGTATCTGGGTTTACCACATCTAATGTGTTATGTTTATCTAAACTGACCCACCAATTCAGGTGGCTGCTTCATAGTTAGGATTTTCTTTTCTCTGAAAGCAGAGAGGTGAGCATACTCTCAGGCCTTTCCAAGACTCTCATTTGTTTGAAAGCTAATTTGTTACCTTGAGAATTCTCAACAGTGTCCCCATCCATCCCCCACACTGAGAACCTGTGGCCCTTGGTCACCATAATGTATTCATAGCATCTGTAGTCAAATAATTTATTCATAGACTGAAATCACTAATCCCAGTTTGGGGTGGAGAAGCGTTTACTTGGTCACTCACACTCTGTTAAGCTGAGGCATTGAAGAGAGAGTCGCTCACAGCTGTCCTTCCCAATATAACTTTTGGAGCCGTGCACTGTAAGCCATTTTATCAAAGAGCCACGGGTAGCAGTCTGCGAGGACGTATTGGGAATCAGCTAATGGACAGAAAGTACCTGCTCCAACACATTAATTCCCTTCCCTGTCAGCCTGCATCATTGTAGAGCATGCATGATGGGAAGCGAGGTCCCGTCACACCACGGCACCTGCTGCTTCTCCATCTGCCAGGCACAATAGCTCCTTTGATTGCCCATTTTTTAGCCTGATGGCTTATTTCTTTTCTCTTTGTAAAGTTTTACATTTTTTATTGTGATTTTAATAGTCATTTAAAAAATGTTCTCATCCCTGTTGGGCACACCAAGGATGTTGATAAAAGAATAACATAAATAATATTCTAAACCATGCCCAAATTGAGATCGCTCCAAGAGCTGCATTTCACTGTTTAGTCTGATAAAGTTGTCATGGCGATAATGTCCCCAGGGAATAAAAATGCCATGTGCATGGTTGATGAAAGGAAATCGCTCAGATGGCACATAAACTGGTAAATATTGAGCCTACGGATGATTATACTGGCCATATTTTTTGTTTTGCCTTTGTTTTCTGTTCAGCTTTTTTTCTTTTTTTAGGTATGCTATGCTCAGTTATTGGAAAAATAGTCTGATAATTCACATTTCCCTCTCTCTCTCTCTTTATTTGAAGATTTATATTGTTAAAATCCCTTGGGATAAATATTGGCAGTGCTCCCAAACTGCCCTTTGGATTCTGTCTAAAGCTGCTGATTTGGCTGGATTAGTCAAAGCAGCAGATCATTATCACATATTGAACATCTGTCAAAAATGGCACTAACAATTATCAGATACATTTTCTATCATGAATATTTGGATTTGCGTTACTTGAGAAGAAGTTTCTACCAATGCAAGTTGATAGTACTATCTACTTTTACTTAAGACAGTAAACAAAATGAGAACTCTCTTTAGTTAATGCAAGGATAAAAACGGTAGCCCTGCTCTATTTGGGTAATTTAAATGAGGGTAGGTTGAAGTTACAGCTTACTGAAGGGTCAGAGATAACCCATCTTTTTTTAGTGTCAGGCAAATGGAGAGACAAATGAGTTATTTAGGGAAGGAAATGTGAGCCCTGGTGTTGACTGGAATCTGGATTATTTTTTTTCATAAAGAGTGTGTGAAATTATCTGTAGGAGGGAATGTCTTGTGATCTGTATGTTTATATCTGACACTCAATTTACCGATGAAACAGCAGGATGCTGGAATACATGGTAAGAAGATCTCACAGGCTATGGAAATGAGAAGAAAAATAGCATACAAATGTCTGTGAGAGAAGTATGGAAAAACACTCCTGAAAATACTTATTTGTGTAGATATAGGTTATTAACCATGCACCAGGGCATTAATCCTGTAACTATGAACCTATCTAAGCTATACGGCGTAAAGTCCAGTAAGATGCGACTGTCGGTCAGGGCTTAGAAGTAAGCTGGAATATAGCACCCATACCTGTGGATAAAACAACAGCAATCGACACCTCAAAGGCTCCCTAAAGCTCCAGACCTTGAAATTGAAGAATTTCTAGAAAAAAGATGTTAAAATAGCCGAAGAAATGGAAAAACCTAGTACGGGCAAAGGCATAATTGTTCATTTTGTAAATGTTTACTGTTTAGCCACTGAGTTTTTAGATACTAGGTGCTGTAAGAAGAGGCAAAAAGGAATACAACTGTACCTTAACCCAAAAGAGGCTTACACTTAAACAGAGAAAAGTCTTATATATACCTAAATAATGCGTGGGATTAAATAAAGGAGCTGGAAACAAATCCTGTGCGTTGAGCTAACTCCAGGTTTTTTAGAGTAGGGCAGTCAATGATAATGAACTGTCACACAGGTTTTGTCAATCTAAGCCATGTCTGCCCTGGACTGGAGGTGGCAAGGTACGGTTAAGCGAAAACTTGAACCATGTGAAAAGTCAGAGGCCAAGAAGGGACGTGATAAAAATTTATAAAAACAAGTGGAGTGAGTGAGCACAAACATTTTTCTTAAATAGAAAGTGCTAGAAATAGGAAAGTTGCCTTTGAGCTATACATAAACACCCTCCTCAAATGTAAAGAAGGGATGGAGGGAGAGAAGGAGGAAGGAAAGGGAGAGAGAGAGGGAGGGAGGGAGGAAGGAAGGAATTTTGCTTTCCATTTTTCCCGTCTTAGGGTACTGGTTACTCTAAGTTGGTGTGAATTGGTTATGTTGTAAGTCTGAAAATTATAAACATGTCTACATAAATTCAGGGATGGCAGGTCCACATGCATTATTGAAAGAATCCAAGGTACAGAGGGGTAGGATACTCTAGTGCAAAAAGCACTGGTTTGAGAGTCAGCAAATTTAGGATTGAATCTGCCTTCATCAAGAACTGTTTTGACTGACTTTGAGCAACTCAGTTTTCTCATCTGCAGAAAAAGAGAGAAAATGCCTCTTTTACAGGATGATTAAAGGAAAGGGGGACAGTAGACATAAACGACTTAATAAACTTCTCAGTAGCAAACACACACTTGCCTTGAGACTGAATACAGAAAGTTTGACATTATCTTCCCACTAAACTCATCCCATTATCTTGCCTGTTAAATCCCACTTTTAAATTTATAAACAGTGCTTTTGGTGAAGAGTAGAGGGCATGCAAATGGACACCAAGGTAGAACTTATACCTAGCCACAGTGTGGTACTGCTCTCTGGCCCTCGTTTTGACTTCAGAGTTTAGTGAAAATCCATGCCCTATGCAGTGACTTGGGTACAAAACCAGCAGGGGGAAGAACCCTTAGCCGCAGCCTTTTATATGCAGAAAGCAGGCAGGCTTTTTGTCTTCCATGAGACTTGGATAGATTGTAAGGCCAATAGAAGATTTCCCTTCTGGTTTTCCCTATTTTTAAAGGCAAATTATTTATGTGTAACAATTTGACAAGGTTATATATTGTATCAAGATAAAATAATATTTAAAACTCCTGAACTGTGGAAAAGAACTAGAATGGTCTCTAATGGACAAAGATATCGTTGTACCAGAGCGAGCAAAGAAAATCAATACCAACACAAAAGTATGCCAAATTGCAGGGTCTTTATTGCCGGTGGCCACGGAGGACTCATGTCTCTTCAACCTGTGGCCCCCAGCTCAGGCGGAGTAAGGTATTTAAGCTGCAAAACCACATCCTTGTTTCGGGGGGCTCCGGGGTTGTGCAAGGCAAGCTGTTTGTACAGAAGCTAAAGTCAGCAGTTCGTTGCAAGGGAAGGGGGCAGCAGTGGAAACTTTTAACCTTAGAAAATAACACTTCCGAGAATTACAATATAATAACGGTTCTGAGAACTACACGTCCGCCCAGGGCCCAGGTGGCTTTTCTATAAGTTGGCGGTGCTTAAGGTTTTTGTTGTTGTGGTTGTTATTTTTTGTCCCTATCTCATTCCCCCTGTTATTTAGTTCATGAGTCAAATCATTGATTCTTCGATTACAACTGTTGGGTCAGTTTGGTTTAATGGGTCATACTGGGATCTTAGGATCGTTAGTTTTACAGAATTAATTCTTGACTGGATTATCTTGAGCAGTTGGTTTAAGAGGCAAGAGCCAAACACAACTCCTAGGAACAGTAGGACCTTATTGTCCATTGTAGATATTTTCACGGTACGGGGTCAGAGAAATTGTTGAACTGATAAGTGGAAATGCAGTTAGTAAGACCGAAAGTGCAGGCTAGCCAAGATGAGTTTGGGGCAGTGTAGTAGAGAGTTGTCCCATTACAGCTCAAGGGAAGGGTTTTATTACAGTGTCTGTATGGGGAGTGAGTGAGGGTGTAATTAGGGGAATGATAACATTCACCCTTTCCTCCTAGATCTCCCAGGGTCAGGTGGAACTTGGTTTCAGAACAGGGGATGTTCCAGGGGGTTATAGGCAACTGTGCTGCTAAGCCTGTGTAAAAAGGTGGCTGCGGGTTAAAGTATAACCAATAGTCTGCACCCAAGTTCAGGTTGGACTGGTTAAGTATGTGGTGTGTTGAAGACAGCGTATCTAGGAGTTTAAATCTTCTACGGTAAAAGTCGCCGCTGATGGGGATGTGGTGGAAGGGTGAGGTTAGGAGAAGGAAGGGTAGGAGAAGGGACTTTGAGGGTTTTGGGGGTCATGACTTTGGCAATTTGTCCTGTAGGGCGGTTGGGTCGTGGTGGGGCCATGTGCTAGATGGCAAAAATATTTCCCCAGTCCCATCCTGACACATATAGTCTGATGCCCCAGGTAATTCCTGTGTTCCATCTACTGTCAGAGTATAGTTACTTTGGGTGGGTTACAAGTGCCAGTGGCAGAACATGGGTTTGGGGAGGACGCTCGTTGGAAGGAGAGGAAGGAGTCTATGTTTTTGGTGTATCCAGATATAGTGAAGATGGTCTCACATCCCCAGTGAGGGCAAAGGTACTCATTCAAGCTTTTACAGTTCCATTTCTGTTGGCTGGTAGAGCCTGGGCATAGGTCAAGACCCTTTCCCTGGAGGACTTCTTCCTGCTGTGTACTACCACAGGCCCAACTGTTTTTCTTTATTTTAGGTGAAATGGTAGCTCTTGCATGAAGCATGGTAGGGAGTGACTTAGATGGGGGTTTTTCATCTTGGGGCCTACGATATCGCAAAGATCTAGGAAGAAGGTTAGGGGCTTTTTGGGGAGTGCTCAAGGGTAGAGTTGACTAGGATGGATTCGTGTTCTGTTTGAGCACTAACATATTCTCCAGTGGAGCCTTCAGTAAGCACCCATTGAAAGTAAGTAGGCTCTAAGCGGGGGTCTACCCTGGGGGTTTACAACATGGGTTAAGGAGGCGAGGGTGGTGACTGCAAAGAGCACACAAGTCTTAGCTTTAGCAGATCTGGGGATGAGTGGTCGACGCTTTTCAGCAGATCCGGGGATGAGTGGTCGACGCTCCGTTGTTCTTCTGGTGCGGCTGTTTTGGCGGGTGTGTGGTGAATCCAAGCTGTTAGTCCGTCCACTTTGAGTGCAGTGGGGGTGTCAGGATAACTGTGTAGGGTCCTCTCCCAATGGGAAGTGAGGCCGGAGGTGGTGAATCTTTTAGCTAGGACCTAGTCTCCAGGCTGAAAGGAATGCGTTGGTTGGTCCGTGAGGCCCACTGGTGTGGAAAGAGTGTCTCTGATGAGCTGGTGCACCTGGGATTGAACAGACTGGAGCGCCTGTAAGGACTTAAGGAGTGCACGGTTATGAATTTCTGCCTGCACGATATCCGCGGATTTGGGAAGTAGGGGAGGAGGCCTGACAAACATGATTTGAAAGGGGGAGAAACCTTTCTGATAGGGGGTGCATTGGACGCGGAGGAGGACAAAAGGAAGGAACCTGACCCAGTTTTCACTGGTCTCTAAGATTAACTTTGTCAGGGTTTTTTTTTAAGGTCCGGTTCATCTGCTGTACCTGTCCTGAACTCTAGGGATGATAGGCACAGTGTAATTTCCAGGATATACCCAGAGCCTTGGTTAGGCACTTAGAAATTTGTGCCATGAAAGCTGGCCCATTGCCTGATCCCAGCATTAAGGGCAGGCTGAACTGAGGGACCAAGTCCTGTAGGAGTTTTTTTGTGACCACCAAAGCCATCTCAGACCTAGTGGGGAAGGCCTCAACCCATCCAGAGAACGTATCTACAAATACAAGGAGGTATTTATAGCCGCTCACCGGGACTGGGGGCTTTACTTCAGTGAAATCAATTTCCCAGTGCTCTCCAGGGCGAGTTCCTCTAAGCCTCACCCCTACTTGCGTAGACTTGTTGCCTCCGATTCGCTCGGGCACATACATCACACGGAGCCGTGGTTTCCCTGAGAAGCTTGTGTAGATGGGGAATGTAATACCTAGCCTTTAGTAACTCAGTGAGTTTTGTTTGTCCTCAGTGCATGGCCTGATGTGTGTCCCTAAGACCTGTCCTAAAGCCTCAGGGACTACAATCCTTGTATCTGGCAAAGTCCACCATCCTGTGGGGCCTTGTGTAGCCCCTTGTTCTTTTGCAAAGTTTTCTTCCTCTGAGGAGTACGTAGGGGTGGAGGGCAGGACTGGGGCTAGCAGTGCTGGAAGAAGAGTTAGGGGTTTTACAGGCCCCAAGGCTGCCTGTCTGGCCTGTGAGTCAGCCACCCTATTTCCTCTTGCCTCTGGTGAATTTCCCTTTTGGTGTCCTTTGCAGTATATTAAAGCTACAGCTTTGGGCTTGTGTATTACCTCTAGTAAGGCCAGAATTTCTTCTTTATTTTTAATAGTTTTTCCCTCTGAGGTAAGTAGTCCTCTTTCTTTATGTGTAACTCCATGTACATGGGCTGTAGCAAAAGCATAGAGGCTGTCTGTATAAATATTGACAGTCTTTCCCTCTGCCCAGTTGAGGGCTTTTATTAGGGCTGTCAGCTCAGCCTTTTGAGCAGAGGTTCCCTTACGAAGCACCTGAGCCCAGACGACCTGATTAAGAGTGACCACAAATTAGCTGGGTGTGGTGGTGCATGCCTGTAGTCCCAGCTACTCAGTAGGCAGAGGCAGGAGAATTGCTTGAACCCAGGAGGCAGAGGTTGCAGTGAGCCGAGATCGCTCCACTGCACTCCAGCCTGGTGCCTGGTGACAAAGCAAGACTCTGTCTCAGAAAAAAAAAAAAAAAAAAAAATGACCACACAGCCGCCCCAGCATACCTGACTCCATCGACTGTGAAGCTGCTGCCATCAGTATACAGTACCTCCTCCGGGTTTGGTAAAGGGATGTCAGTGAGGTCCAGCTGAGCTGAGTGGATGGCATCTACTACCTGCTGACAGTTATGTACAGGTTCCTCCTGCTCACTGTCCAGCAGCAATGTGGCCAGGTTCAGGACTGCAGTTTTCATGAACTTGATACAAGGTTGGTCTAACAGTAGAGCCTGATATTGTACTATACGGGCATTTGATATCCATTTACCGGGGGCTCCCCGGAGCAGTGACTCCACCATGTGGGGTGCCACTAGGCTTAATTCCTGTCCCAGGGTTGGTTTGTCTGCCTCCTTTACTAACAGGGCTGCAGCTGCCACAGATCTCAAGCAAGCTGGCCACCCAGCGGCCACAGGGTCTTGTCTCTTTGAAAGATAGGTGACTGGTTGGGACCATGGTCCCAGTGTTTGGGTGAGAACTCCTTTTGCAACTCCTTGTTTTTCATGTACAAACAGTCTTAAAGGTTTAGAGATGTCTGGCAGCGCTAAGGCTGGGGCTGTAGTTAAAGCAGCCTTGAGCTTTTCAAAAGCCTGTTGTTCTACACCTGTCCGGGTCAGAGGCTGGTTTCGCCCAGTACAGGCATATAGAGCCTCAGCTATTTTGGCGAATCCCAGGATCCACAGTCTGCAATACCCTACTGCCCCGAGAAATTCTCGAACTTGGCGTTTCGTGGTGGGGGTGGGTATCTGAGGCACTGCCTGGACTCGGCATGGTGCCAGTGTCCGGTTGCCCTTTTCAATTATGTATCCCAGATAAGTAACTTTCTGCTGGAAGAGTTGGGCCTTTTTAGCTGAGACCTGATAACCCAGAGTTTGTAGGGTTTCTAATGGTGACTGGGTGGTCTTTTTACAGGCCTCCGGTGTTTTTGTGGCCAAAAACAAGTCATCCACATACTGGAGTAGCATGCACTCCAGGAACTCAGCTCGGAAGGCAGCAAGATCTCGGCTAAGTGCCTCGTCAAACAGAGTGGGGGAGTTTTTGAACCCCTGGGGCAGCCTGGTCCAAGTGAGCTGTCCTAAGACCCCAGTGTCTGGGTCTGTCCATTCAAAAGCGAATATGCGCTGGCTAACAGGAGCCAGTGGGATGCAAAAGAATGTGTCCTTAAGGTCCAGGACAGTGTAATGGTGGTAGTCCGGGTTCAGAAGACTTAGGAGGGTGTATGGATTTGGAATCATAGAGTGGACTGTCTCTACCCTCTTATTTACTTATCTGAAGTCTTGCACTGGCCGATAATCTTTTGTGCCTGGCTTTAAGACTGGTAGCAAAGGGGTATTCCAGGGAGACTTACAGACAGTGAGGATTCCTCCCTTCAGGAGTCTGGCTATGTGTGGAGCAATCCCCCGTCTGGCTTCCTGACTCATGGGGTATTGTCGTACCTAAACCGGAGTTGCCAGTGCCAGCAGCTGGACCACAACTAGGGTATGGTGCTCTACCAGACCCGGGGAATTTGTTTTGGCTCAGAGTCCCGGTACACTCTCCTGAAATTGGTGGAGGAGGTCTGACGCTGGTGTCTGCGTTATCTCTGGGGACAAAGCTTCCTGT